CAGGCAACTGGAAAGTACTGGGAAGAAAGTGGAAAGGGAGGGGACCAGGAAAGCAACACCATGAAGTTGTTTATGAACTCTTGGGCTCACCCCTGACCACCATTATCTGATGCTAATTGGCATACCACAGGCTTTTGGAACAGTGCTGACGGAGAGACTTCTGCTCAGGCCCAGACTAACTAGTGGGTGATGCACATGAGACAAATCCAAAAAGCACTACAAGAAGCTGACAACTGTACTGACTGGGAACATAGCACAGGAGGAGGTTTGGAACTTGCAGCCTACACCTAGATATGGCAAACACTTGTTAAAATAAAAATATTGATATTCTCCATAAGATTTAAACAAGACTCAGAATCTCATATTCTAAATTCCCAGGATACAACCCCAAATTACAAGGCATATGAGTATCCCCCAAATCTCAACTTGCATAGGAAAAGACAGTCATCAATGACAAGAGGACCCAGATGTTGGGATTATCTGACGAGGATATTAAAAGTTATTATAAAAAATGCTCAAAACAATTAAAATAGAAGTTAAACGTGCTCAAAACAAAAATTAAAATAGAAAGTATCAGTAAAGAAACATCAGATATTAAGAATCAAACATTTTAAAACTGAAAAATATAAAAACCAAAAACTCACTGGATAGATCCAATAGCAGAATAGAGGTGACAAAGGACAGAGTCAGAGAACTTGAAGACAGATAATAGAAATGAGTCAATCTGTCTAACAGAGAGAAAAAGATACAGAGGTGGTAAGGGGGGGCGGGCGGGAAGGTGAACAAGCCCTGGCCTAGTAGCTCAGTTGGTTAGAACATTGTCCTGATACACCAAGGTTATGTGTTCAATCCCTGGTCAGGGCACATACAAGAAGCAACAAGCAACCAATGAATTCATAAATAAGTGGAACAAATTGATGTTTTTTTCTTTCTCTCTCCTTCTCTCTCTCTCTCTAAAATCAATCAATAAAAAAATGTTTTTTAAAAAGAACAGAACCTCCATCGCCTTTGGGACAAGAATAAAAAGTCTAACATTCTGTCATCAGAGTCCCACAGGAGAAAGTAAATATATATATAATTTTTTTTTAATGAAATAATGGCTGAAAATGTCCCAAGTTTGATGAAAACATCTCTACAGATTCAAGAAGCTAAGCAAACAGGATAAATCCAAAGATACCCATGCCCAGACACATCAAAATCAAGTTGAAAACTGAAGACAAATTAAAATTTTGAAAGCAGCCAAAGAAAAATGATGCCTAACCAATCAGTGAACATTCCAATGACAGTAGACTTTTCATTGGAAACCACTGAAGGCTGGAGGAAGTGACAAAAGATTTTTCAAGAAAAGAACTGTTAACCCAGAATTCTATGTCCAGTGGAAATATCCTTCAGGAATGGTGAAATAAAGCCCTTCTCAGGTGAAGAAAAAACTAAGAAAATTTGCAACCAGTGGACATACTTCAAAAGAACTGCTGGAAGAAATTTCTTCAGATAAAAGAAAAATGACACTGGAAAGAAACTCGGGACATCAGGAATGAAAGAAGAGTAGCAGAAATGGAAAGTATCTGGGTAAATATAAAAGACTATCTTGAGTTCTTTAAAAAATGTTTGGTGATTGAATGCAAAAAGTATAAAATTGTCTGATGGATTTTCAATCTAAGTTTGTTCATGATAACATTATTGGTGGCTCATTTGGAATATATTGGTTTGCAATTGTTGACATAATTAACTATACAGTATTTAAAAATGGCAATCATTAATAATATCACTTTGATTTCATTAGAAAGGTCTATAGGTATAAGAAGCTGTCAAGCTCACTGTGGTAGATTATTTTCACTTGAAAGCTCAAATTTTCTCACTGGCAAAACTCTCAGTTGTTTGTTGTTTTCTTTGAAGTGACAAACTCACTAAAAATGTATGCCAGCCATCCAAAGTATGAATAACCAGTTTTCAGTTTTCTTTCAAGTAAAAATGGCATCCCATGAAAAGAGGCCACATTTGTTGAAAATTGCCCATTAGGAGATGGACCTCATTAGGAGTATCAACGCCTAAAATCATTATACATTTAAATCTTGGAAGCTACTTGCCTGACTCCATGCTCACAAAGTATCTTTTTGATAAATTCTCACCTTGTTAAACTTCAGACAGAAAATGTCAAGTGGTTAGGCCAGCGGTTCTCAACCTGTGGGTCACGACCCCTTTGGGGGTCGAACAACCCCTTCACAGGGGTCGCCTAAGACCATCGGAAAACATATATAATTACATATTGTTTTTGTGATTAATCACTATGCTTTATGTTCAATTTGTAACAATGAAAATACATCCTGCATATCAGATATTTACATTACGATTCATAATAGTAGCAAAATTACAGTTATGAAGTAGCAACGAAAATAATTTTGTGGTTGGGGGTCACCACAACATGAGGAACTGTATTAAAGGGTCATGGCATTAGGAAGGTTGAGAACCACTGGGTTAGGCTGATGTAACTGTTTGGTCTGCTTCTGTTACAGTTCTCAATGTAAACTGGTAAACTGCTGTTAGGCTTTTTATTAAACAGTCTCTATGAGCTTTGAGTCCAATCAATTTGGGGACAATATGATAGTTTCTGAGAGTAAATGTTATCTTATGAAAACTTCTCATAGTTTTTGTATCTGATGAAACTTTTGAAATTATCTACATAGGATGATACTTTATGACAATTTAATAAAAATCAGAGATTATGGATTCTAAAAACAACAAAAACTAACATGGAAAATATCTGTAATAAAAGCATGATATGCTAATTAGACCGGATGTCCTTCTAGACGACCTTCCAGACGAAGCCAGGGCTGCGAGGAAAGCCTGGGTCCTGGTTGCCAGAGGGAAGCCGGTGCCAGCAGTGGGGGGACGGAAGGCCTACTCTTGCACGAATTTCATGCATCGGGCCTCTAGTTAAAAATAAATGCCATAAATATGTTTTCTCCAGAAAGTATTAAAATATTAAGTCTTTCTGAATTCTTGAGAAGAGATAATTTTTCTACTCTTTACAATTTCCTTAGTTGTAGTTTACTGCTTTGAACATTGAAAATTCTTTATTGATAAAGGTGTAAATATGTGCAGGTAGAGAACTAGCTTAACACTCCAACGTCTTCCTAGTGTGTCTTCCTGACTTGCATAGGCTGGAAAGCTATGAACTACATTTCCCAGATTCCTTTTCAGTTAAGAGTTTTTGATGTCATTTAAGTTCTTTCCTAAATAACATCCTAGATGCACTAAAGTGAGCCTTTACTTTGGAGCTGCATTACATGAGAAGGGAAGCAGATGTGCTCACATGAAATGTGGCAGAGGTGGACAGGATCATTCAGCAGGTTCCTGATCCCAGGCACAGGCAAAAAAAACCTTGATGGTCCAGTTCTGTAGTGTGGCTTTGCGATGTATTTCTGGGAAGATCAGGCAGTTATTCTGTGAGCTACCTATATACCTTAATAAAACCTTTGGATTTAAACTAGCTTTAGTCCATTTTGTTACATGTAGTCAAGAACTGATGAATTCAAACTTTAATAACAGTTGCTAAAGCATAACCATGTATCTGGTTTCTACGGTTTTATGTCAATAGTAGAGGACTGGCGCATGAAATTTGTGCATGGGTAGGGTCCCTAGGCCTGGCCTGCGATCAGGGCCCATATTCCCTGGCAGCCGGCAGCCACCAGCGTCCACGGCCACCCACCCCCGGTTCCCCATTCCCCATTGGGCGGCCAGGGGGAAGAACCGAGAAGTTGGCTGTTTCTGCCTGCTCACCAGCCCCACACCCTGCCGCTGGTCGCCCTGTGTGTGGGGCAACCAGCGGAGCAATTGGGGCCCTGCTCGCTCCCACCCACCTTGGCCTGGCACCACCCACATCCGCCGCCACCCACCCCCTGGTTCCCTGTTTCCCATCAGGTGAATGGAGCCTGCCGGCCAGGGGGTGGAACCAAGAGGTTGGCCAGCAGGCCCCAATGGGGGGGTGGGGGGAGGGCTGGGGGCAGCTCCTGCGTTGAGCGTCTGTCCCCTGGTGGTCAGTGTGCATCATAGCAAACCGTCATTCCACTGTCAGGTAGATTTCCATATTACGCTTTTATATATATAGATTTTCTCCCTCAATTGCTTTTCTAAGCTGGGAAAATGTTCCTTATATATAAATGCTATTTTTTTAAAAAATATATTGATTTTTTTACAGAGAGGAAGGGAGAGGGATAGAGAGTTAGAAACATCAATGAGAGAGAAACATCGATCAGCTGCCTCCTGCACACTCCCTACTGGGGATGTGCCCGCAACTAAGGTACATGCCCTTGACCGGAATCGAACCTGGGACCCTTGAGTCCGCAGGCTGATGCTTTATCCACTGAGCCAAACCGGTTAGGGCTAGTTAAATGCCATTTTAAAAAATGAAACTATTTCTGGGAATATATCCTAAAAATCTCAAAACACTGGGTCGAAAGAATATATATACCCCTATGTTCATAGCAGCATTATTTACAATAGCCAAGATCTGGAAAGAACCCAAGTGCACATCAGTAGATGAGTGGATTAAAAAAAACTGTGGTACACTTACACATCGGAATACTACTCGGCCGTAAAAAAAGGAACTCTTACCTTTTGTAACAGCATGGATGGACCTAGAGATTATTATGCTAAGTGAAATAAGCCAGTCAGAGAAAGAAAAATACCATATGATCTCACTTATATGTGGAATCTGATGAACAAAATAAAGTGATGAACAAAACAGAAACAGAGGCATGGATACATGGAACATTCTGACCGCTGTCAGGGAGGGGGATTGGATGAAAGAAGGTGAAAGGATTAGCTAAAGAATGTATATGTCTAACCCATAGACACAAACAGTGTGGTGATGGCCAGAGGGAAGGGGGCGGGGGCTGGGTGGAGATGGGTGAAGGGGGACAAAATGGGGACATCTGTAATAGTGTCAACAATAAAAATAAAGTTAAAAAAAAAAAGAAAAAAGTCAAACTACTATGGCGTTGTTTTAGAATACATCTATAATTTTATTACAAAACCATTTTTTTGGCATTAGTTGGTTACAGTAATAGCAAGATATTGTGAGTGTGGCATAGCAGCTCTGAGTAACAATTGCATTCCTTGCTTCCTAAACCAAAATTTAAGCTACCTCATATCCATTACATATAAGTAATCTGTAATCATTTATGCTGCAAATCCTGATGCATATACCATTCAGGGAGGAGTTGATGCTAAGGGGTTAAAGTAAATGTTGATAAGACTACAAAAGTTCCTATATGGGACATTTTTCCTTCTCCCTCCCCCCAATTACTTTGCTATAAAATAATCGAATTACTTAGAGCTAGTCTGCATGGCAGCAGCACCCAAGGAACATCGTACTTAGTTCTTGTTAAAAAGCAGTATCTGTGCAATGCATGTTTTAAACCACAGGCACAGGGTAGTTTTAAACTCCTGCATTAGAGTCTCTTAAAAAAATAAAAGCAGTCTATCAAGTTCTTCTAGATGGTGTTATTGCTGTACATTTGTTGGTGGGTCACTTTCTGTGCTGTGTTTGCTTTGAAGAGATCTTCCAATATATCTCCAATACTCCTTTCTTATAGTGTCCTTTTCTTTAGCTAGGATTTCACATAACTAAAAATGAAAAACAAACAATTCATTAAAGAAAATGTGTAATTAAATCTTTAGGGCAGATGACTTGAGCTAATACAGTTTAACTCAATCATATTCAAATGAGATACACCACCAGAGTTGCGTACTATGTTCACTAGTGACGTGGGTATTGCTCTAAACAACAGAAATAGTCCTGGATTGAATTCTCAGTAACTGCTGAAAGGGACATGAATATTAGTGGCACTGGAAAGACCCAATTCTGAGATAGCAAAAAGGAAGTGATGAGTTCCACGAGCTTACCTCTAATGCTTTATTAAGAATGTCCTCCTTGTTGTCACATTGGTTTTCTAGCATATCTTCATAGATGTCCACAAGAAAGGCAATTAGGTAGGGGGAACTATGACTTGGTTGCAAATCAAGCAATTGATTTAACAGATTGGGATATTTGGAAAGACCACGATCCTGCAAAATCCTAAAAAAAGAAATTAATCTAATTTTTGAGAAGAGCAAAAATAGTAGAAAGATCAATAGCCCCTGTGACATAAGCAAGAAAAGGAGACATTTTGAATGAAGTTGAAACTAAATGAAATTCACACAAAATTAAAGCAGAAAACAAATCTTAAAATAAAAAAAACACAGGAGAGTTTTAACTTATCCTTTCAGCTCTCCAGATATCACAGGCCCCTACCCTGCACACACCTCCCAATGTGACCGGGCCACGTACTTTGGCTCTTGGAGACCTCTGAATGCGACAGGGAGCCTGGGTGTGTCAGTGGCCAGGCAAGGGAAACCTTGTCAGTTTAACAAGTGAGACTTGAACAGGAGATCAGTAGAAGTGAATCAGAGAGGCTGCCTGCATTTGTGCAGTCTGATTGTAAATAGTTGGCCTTGCCTTACCGTGTTCCTGAGCTGCACATACACTGAGGGTGTGTATTCCAATCTTTTTTTTTTTCACTGTCTGAGTCTATATAACGGCTTGTCTCAGAGAGAAGAGCACCGGAATAGGTTAGATTTTGTTGCTATAGCAAGCTGTATTCCATTCTTTGACATAAAGACTACAGGATTCATAACTTCAGTTATAATTTATTATTGTTCACTCATGGACTACTCTAAAAACTGGGCTGGTATATGTGCTTGGGAGGTGAAGGGAAGGGTAGAGGACACTGTTCTTGGGTGTTGTCATAATACACTTCTGCTCTCAGAGAAAAACAGAAAAATTTTTAGTATCATTTTGGAATCTGATTATGGAACATAGTTCATAATGCATCATATTAACAGGTTGTATTTTATATAAAATAAGCAAAAAACATCCTCTTACCCTTTCAAGTAGTTCCATGCACTTTCATTATGTGGTACTAGCTTGATCATTTCCAGAGTGTACCTATAAGAAAGAGCACAATATGTGTATAATTTTAAGAGCAGTGCAATCATTAGAAACAGTTTTAGTAAGACGGTAGCATAGCTTAGATATGTGCTTTCATTTCTCTCTGAGTGGACTTTGGTACCTCTCTAGGTCATACTTAAGTCTCTCCAGTCTCCAACTGTCAATTCTTTTTGACAGTTCTTCCCTATTGAATATTTGTATCCAATTCTGGAGAAGGACACTCAATATGAAGGCTCAATTCACAACAGAAAAGAAATTAAAGGAGATTTCCTTTAATTTAGGCTTTCCCTCTGAAGGAAAATGTCAGCTAAAACAAGATTTACCTTTTACTTGTAAAGCAATCTTGGGGGAAAAGTCTAAGATCTACTTATGGCTGTCAAATCCTTAATTGTTGAAAAAGGAGAACTATATAATCTTAGTAAATGCTTGATAAATAGTAACTATTATCAATAGTGCTAGTAGGTTATGTACTCAAATAGAAATATTACCATGATGTATTTAGTGGGGGAAAAAAAAGGCAATGTGTATAATATGATTGCCCAGGTTGCTGTGCATGTTTGTAATGTATTTATAAGGCTTGGAAGGATTCACTACTTGTAGCTCCCTCTAGAATGAGATATGGGCCCTGGCCAGGTAGCTCAGTTGGTTAGAGTGTTGTTCAATATGCCAAGGTTGTGGTTTGATCCCCCATCAGGGCACATACAAGAATCGACCAATGAATGCATGGATAAGTGGAACAATAAACTGATGTTTTTCTCTCTTCCCCTTACTCTCTCTCAAATTAATGGGGAGGGGGAAACACCCCACAATTTTTTAAGAATGGGATATGGGAAGGAGAATAAGAGATTCTGATGTTTAATTTTATACAATTCAGTATAATTCCCCACAAGTAAACTGCACTGCTTTTATAAAAGGGAAAAACTACAGAAAATAATCAGCTACAGCTGTATTTTTAGAGTTAAATTTAATTAACTAAATTATAGAAAACTACTGCTACTCTTAGCATCTTAAATATTTCTTTTACCTATCTATAGGGTATAATAAACTTTAAGAATGGAAAACTCTTAGATTCTTGGCTGATTATTTTTATTTCTATTTGGTACTAGAAAGCCAGTGATCTTCCTTTATTTATTTTTTTTTTTTTAAATATATTTTATTGATTTTTCACAGAGAGGAAGGGAGAGGGATAGAGAGTTAGAAACATCGATGAGAGAGAAACATCGATCAGCTGCCTCCTGCACATCTCCCACTGGGGATGTGCCCGCAACCCAGGTACATGCCCTTGACCGGAATCGAACCTGGGACCCTTCAGTCCGCTTCTTGGCTGATTATTTTTATAGCCAAACCGGTCTCGGCCAGTGATCTTCCTTTAAAGGCTATGAGAGAAGTCTGCATTTTCCAAACTCTTTATATTCAATTTTTTAAATATCTTATTATGTCTAACCTAATGTAGTAGGCTACAGTAAATAAGAAACATATACTATTTTGAAACTCCCTAATTATTAATTGGATTATTTCAAGGTAGAATAACTTTGGCAAGGAAGCTATCGAACTTTCTGAAGGGTGATGCTTTGCTTTCCTTCAGAGCATCCTTTTCCTAATCCTCACAACGGAATACCAACTATAAAAGGAAAAAAAACAGAAGCTGTTAATTAACTTTCACAATTAAAATTATGATTATGGTCGCATGATAAAAACAAACATGTTTAAATTTAAATCAGACTACTGAGACAAAATAGACAAAAGTCAGAAAAGAGGTGGCTATTGTTTATGGATATACAGACATATTCATGCCAATTCAGAAATTTCTGGCTCTTATAACAGCCTTATGCTTGCTAGACCAGTAATTTTCAACTGCAGACAACTATGCTCCTGAGGGGACATCTGGCAATGTCGGGGGACATTTCTGCTTGTCACAACTGGGGAGCGAGGGTTACTACTGATCTACAGACGCCCCTAGACTTATGACAGGGTTATGTCCCGATAAACCCATTATAATTGAAAATATTGTAACTCAAAAATGCATTTAATATACCCAACATACAGAACACCATAGCTTAGCCTAGCTGGTTTCTACTGAATTGTACTGCTTACAACATCTTTTATTTAAAAAAATCTTTATTGTTGAGAGTACCACATATGTTCCTCTTTCCTCTACTGATCACTTCTAGCCCACCCTCAACCCCCACCCCTTTCACAACATCTTAAAGTTAAAAAATCATAAATTGGCCATCATAAGTCAAGGACTGTCTGTATAGGGTATACAGGCCAGGTATGCTCCACATACTACAATGCACAGGACAGCCCCTACAACAAAGATTTATCTGGCTCAAAACCCTGCACTAGAGCCCTAACCGGTATGGCTCAGTGGATAAAGCATCAGCCTGCGGACTCAAGGGTCCCAGGTTCGATTCTGGTCAAGGGCATGTACCTTGGTTGCGGGCACATCCCCAGTGGGGAGTGTACAGGAGGCAGCTGATCGATGTTTCTCTCTCATCAATGTTTCTAACTCTCTATCCCTCTCCTTTCATCTCTCTAAAAAATCAATAAAAAATATATGTAAAAAAAAACCAAAAAAACCCAAAAAAACAACCCTGCATTAGAATAACATGGCATCAGGGGACTATTATCCAACATACAAAAGAATTTAATACGATAGTTTTAAACAAAGCTTCCTAGACACTATGAAATCTGGTTTCTTCTCAATCTACAGTAGCAACAGTATTTCAAGAAAGTTAAGGCATTACAAAGCAGAGGTATACTATATACTTGTAAATTTATCATTAACAATTTCATCTAAGTATTCTGTCCTATTAGTTCCATGAGGGTAAAAGTGGGACAGTCCTGATCTTTGCTGTCTCCCCAATACCTGACATATGGTAGGCACACAAATATTCTTTTACTGAGTGAACAAGTGAAGGAGATTACTAACTGGACTTCTCTTTCCAATACAGCCCGATCATTGTAGCCAGTGGTGTTAGAAATTACGAAGTATCTTTGGTTCCAGACAGAGTTATTTCTCACATCCTCTTTAAGAAGTTGGTCTACATACTGCAGCTCATTATCCCAAAGTTTAAATTCCTAAAAGAAAATAAATAATAAAACATCTAATTAGAAATGTCCCATTATTTATAAACAATAAAAATTAATCAAATTTCAGCAAAGCTAAGTAGGTCTAACTGAAGATGTGGGACTCAGCACACAGTTAGAGGAGAATGACAGTTGCAGGTCAAGCAAATGCAGTGGGAAAGAAAAGTAATCAAAGACAAAGGATTGGTTATGAGGGATGAAAATATCAGGAAGAGAGAGCAGCCAAAGCAGCCTGTAATTCAGTACCATCTTCTTGAGAACAATTCAGGTAACATGATGCATGTTTATGCTATTTGAGCCCAGAATTATTCTACAGGACTAAATCAAAAGCAAAAGAAGTATATTTAACTAAAAGCTTATGCATTGTCTATGGTGAAATTTTAGAGGAAAATAAACCCCACCAAACTTAGTAAGAAAATGAATAACTACAACATATTAATTTGATGTGATTAATCTGATATTAATACATTAAATAAAAAAAAATATTCAAAATGCACACATATGACAAAATTACATTAAAATAGATGTAGAGAAAAGATCCACAATTAGGTTTAGACCAAGTTTTCACATTATAAAGCTGTTTTTTAATATATTTTTTAAAGTCCTCACCTAAGGATATGTTTTTATTGCTTTTTAGAGAGAGAGGAAGGGGGAGAGAGAGAGAGAGAGAAACACTGATCAGTTGCCTCCGATACACGCCCTGACTGGGGATGGAACCTATAACCTACGTATGTGCCCTGCCAGGAATCCAACCTGTTTTGGTGTATAGGACAACACTCCAACCAACTGAGCCACCCGGCCAGGGCAAAGTTGTTTCAATTTTTTAAATTAAGGAGAAAGGCCCTTGCCAAGTAGCTCAGTTGGTTAGAGTATCATGCTGATATGCCAAGGTTGTGGGTTCATTTCCAGTCTTGCACATAAGAACCAACCGATGAAATGTATAAATAAGTGGAACAACAAATGGATGTTTCTCTCCCCCACCTCCTCTCTCTCTTTAAAATCAAGAAATAAAAAATTATAATATGAAACAAAAAAAAAATTATGGAGAAGAGAACCCATACAGATAATTTGGAAAAAAAATTAGAATGATAAAAACTTATAAATGCTAAAACAGTCAGAGACGTTAACTATGAAAAAGCTTGTGGAATTATATTTCTTATGTTTTAATAGAAAAAAAGGTAGAAATTCATAAAAAAAGACTGAATACCTTTAAAAATGTATCCCTTTATTCAAATTTAGAAAAGTTTAAAATTTTAAATAATAATTTGATGAAATAATCTTGGTATAATGAATAGTGCAGAAAGTAGTAATTACTGGGGAAAGTTTCACAGAAAACAATGCTAGAATTGTTTGGTAGAATAAATTAAATGCCCAGAGTGGGAGTCCTAACTATTCTCTTCTATTCAAGATTTAGCATAAAATTTTAACAATTGGGCAGAAATAAAATATATAATAGTTACTGTAAAATCATATTCCTAAGTTTATATATGCAAAAACCTTAGTGTGTATGATGCTCTTGTTAATTAAAATAACAAAGTTGTTTTAAAAAATTAGAACTACTTTTTCTATTCAATTTGTTGGCAAATATAAGATGTGATGTATATTCAACCTAAATATTATTATTCTTCTTCTTTAATATAAAGCTACTCATGAATATATCTCAAGAAATTATAAAGGTTAACCAACATGAAAAGTGTCAGATAACTAACTTAATAATAATGATATACATATTGTGTTTATATGTATATACATAAACTACATGTATGTTTCAGTTCAGAAGTATACTTACAATTTAATAATTTTAATTATTTAATTCAGTTAAAAAATAAAAAATTGGAAAACATTGTGATAAGAAAGACAATACCTGAATAACCCACTGTCGATGCTGCCAGGCATGATAATTCTTTGCATCCTGATTAAGAATATCAGCAATAAACTCAAGCTCCTGAGATGGATCTTTTAGCCACTCCACTAATACTCGCCTATGATGCCTAAAGCCGGTGGAAAAGGGAGAGAAGTTTTGTGTGAATTTATTCCGGAACTAAAGTAACAGTTGCATGTGCTGTGCTAGGTGATGTGAAGGGACACTTAAGAAACAGAAATCATCTCTAATTCTCAAGGCTCTGCTGGAGAGAAAAGGTAACAAAAAAGGAAAACTAAGAGAAAAATTTCAGAATACTAAGTTGAAAAACATAAAACAGTGATTTGTGATTTTTGTATAAAATGAAATCAAATAGTTTACAGCTTAAAGGAGGTTTAAAGTCTTTTAACAACCACAAAACTCTATCAAAGACCAATGGCATAAGACTATAGGATATATAATATTTTATCAAGTTTGAAGCTCCTCTGGTTATAAATAAACTGCCAGTTTTCCTTCAGTCCAAAGTGTCACCATACAAGCAAATAAATGCTCATTTCACTAGTTTGTGGGCAGAATTGTACTTATGATAAGTGACAAATCTGTCCAAAGAGGAGTTTTCCATGTTGGAAAAACAAAAAAAACTATACCTGACTAGCAACTTGCTATCCCTTCTTTTCTCAACAGCCAACCCTCATCTCCCATTTATGATTCACCCCACTATGTTGCCTTCTTTTCTCTTCCTACCACTTCCCTCCTGCCCATCCAGTTACCACCCCACCCAGGTGGGAGGACTCTCATGCCAAGATCACTAACTCAAACCCACCTAATTAACAAACCCGTTGGTCATCTTTTAGTCCTTACTTTCCTTGACCTGTCAGCAGTATTGAAACCGTCATCCACTCCTTTCTTCTTAAAACTCTCTCTTCTCTTGGTTTCTGTGATGACACTAACTTTTGGTTTCCTTGCTCAGTCATCCTGGAATGCTTCTTAAATGATGTTCACTGGTGTTCTATCCTCAGCCTTCTCCTCTAATTCTCCCTGAGCATCCTCATCCATAGCTATGACCTCAACTCCAGATGAGCATTTTTCAACCATGTGCTGGACCACAATACATAGGCTTTTCCATAGGCACATCAAATGCCATTTGTCCAATACGGATCCATCTCTCTTCCCCAGAAATGTGCCGCTTTGTCTTACAAATTCCCCAGTGGTTGGCACCACCATTCACCCAGTGGTCAAGCCAAATATATTGACATCATTGTTCTTCATCACTCCTCCAATAAATTAAACTTCAAACCTGTTGCTTCTGTCTGCAAACCCTCTCTCGAATATATCTTTCTCTTCCCTAAACCCGCTCCACACCCTCTCTTAGCCTATACCAGTGCAATGGCCTATCAGGGCTGTGAACCTATTCCATCTAAGCTCCACCCTATAGTCAGGGTAAAACTTCCAAGACACAAAACTAACCGTATTACTTCCTTAATTAAAATTTGGCAATAGCTCTCCAATGCCTAGGATCAAGTCCACACTCCTTACTAATGTTCATAAGGGTCTTTATGATCTTATCCTATTTACTCTAATCACATGGAGTTATACAACTCCCTGAGTGCATTGTGCTCTTTCATGCATCTCCCCAGAATATTTTCTTTGTCCCAGAGGTTGTTCCTCTCAGAAATCAACCTTAAATCTCAGGCATAAAGATAGGCATGTGTCGATCATTATATTGAGAAAAAAAAAATGGTGTAACTCCTGCATTTTGAGCAGGCAGTGAGTGGCACAGAAAGTGGAGACAGTTGCTTCTGCTACTTCACTAGCTTCACAACCATCTCCTCCAGCTCACTACCATCACCACCATCACCACCACCACCACCACCTCCTCTTCCTTCACCAACATGACCTCCACTACCTCCTCCTTCTCCACAACAGCTTTCATTCATGGAGTGCTCACTGTATCCTGGGTACTGTTCAAACTCGTTCTTTGTCCTCTGCTCCATTATTTACCTCTCTTTTCCCATTGTATTCTGCTCCCCTCACAAATACTAATCTATACTCTTGTGTAAACGTAGGGGTTTAATTTTTAGAACAAATATACTCTGTGAAAAACTATCATTATGTTTTTCACACTACACTGTAAAATAACTGGTTTTATTATTTGCTTTTCCTTTTAGATTGTATCTGGTTCATCTTTGTAGCTCCAACATCAGTATAAATATTTTAAATTAAAAAAATACAAGATCAAATACCAAAAAGGCATTTTTTAACACAAAGAAAATATTTCAGATTTTTTAACTCAAATTCTTTTCTGACTCTAGCACTATTACACGCTAGATATTTTAAATAATAATAATAGCAAACATTTTAGTGTTAACCACGGGTCAGGCACTACTTTAAACACTAAAAAAATTGTCTCATTTAATCCTCCTAACAACCCTGTGAGGCAGGTAACATTAGCTCCAATGCAAAGTACTAAAATTATAAAGCAACAAACAATTCCCTATATTTGCATCACCCATTGGCAGGTACTATCAGCATAGTAACATGTCTCCCTCCTATTTTCATCTTACCAAACTTGATAGTTTTTTGGCTGTTCTTCAATTATTGCAGTGATGTAGCTCATTTCCTCATGGAGATCCTTTTGAAGCGACTTTAAGAGAACTCTCCGGAAATGCCTATAACAAACATCAAGCATTCAAAGTCTCATACTCCACATAAATCGCCTCCCCACAGTATCAAATAAAGCTACAAGACAACAGAATAAGACTTTTTTTTTGGTCTAAACTCCTACATATATCTGGTCATTGGAAGAATCAAGCATTTAAAAGTAATTTTTTTCTTCTCATCCTCCCAACCCCTCTCTTTGGGCAACTATCAGTTTGTGCTCTACAACTACGAGTCTGTTTCTGTTTTATTTATTCATTATTTTGTTTTCTTTTTGATTCCACATATACATAAAATCATATGGCATTTGTCTTTCTCTGTCTGACTTACTTCACTTAGCATAATACCCTCTATGTCCATCCATGTTGCCACAAATGGCAAGATTTCATTCTTTTTTATTGCTGCATAATATTCCACTGTGCATACAGGGTGTGGCAAAAGTAGGTTTACATTTGTAATACAAATAATACAATAATTAATAAATAATAATACAAGAATAAACTTTTGCATACTCACAACTGTAAGTCTACTTTTGCCCATTGCTGTATATACGGTACACTACATCTTTATCCATTCATCTATTGATGGACATCTAGGTGCTTCCATTTCTCGGCTGTTACTAGTAATGCTGCAAGGAACATAGATGTGCATGTATCTTTTCAAATTAGTGTTTTTGCTTTCTTCAGATAAATGCCCAAAAGTAGAATTGCTGGATGATATGGCAGCTCTACTTTTAATTTACTGAAGAATCTCCATAAGAGTTAAGCATTTTGAAGTAAAAATAGCAAAAGGCAAAAAATGTGACATACAAGAAAAGACAACCAACTAATGATTATTTTTAGGTAATAATCTGGGGTTACCTGTGTTGTATTACTAGTACACAAGAATCAAAGACATCTCTTTCCCTGTATGGTAACCTTGTTCATTTAGATAATTATTTATATAATAGTTCATTTAGATAATTATTTATATAATAAATTAATTCCATTACAAACATTATCACATATTCTTTTAAAACCACCACAAAAATGCTACTTATAAATAAAACAAGTGTAGTGGACAGCGAATTCTGTATCTTCCACAGAAGGAAAAGATAAATGAAAACAAAATTAAGCATATTATTTAGAATATACAGTTTATTTCAAGAAAAAAACAGCTCGAGTTGCTACCTCTGAGGAGTGGGACATTGGTAGTGAGAAGGAATGGGGCAGAGGTTGCTATTTTTCATTCAGTCTCTGACTTCTAAATTCATATATGAATTATTATTTTGACAAAAGTTAAAGTTCAGTTAAGAAGAAGAAAAGCCATCCAAACTAAAACATGAGACATTTAAACAGGAAATATTAATAATGTATTACCTACCACACTGTATAATTGGCTGCATTTAACTCTATAGCATCTCTGGTTAATGTAAAAGCTCGCTCACTTCTTTCATCACGCTGCAGAACGGCCCGGAAATAATCATAAACATCTCTAACTGTAAATAGTACAAAACTGCATTAGGACTATCTTTCTTGTTCAAAACTACCATTATAGTATAAAATGTTGTTATATCTTACAAAGAAAGGTATTTTACTGCATTACTTAGAACAATAAGCAAAAGAAGTCAAATGATTGTGTGAATACCACCCTGAAAATACTTTAGTATCACAGGCACAAAGTTTCTAAAACTTGTGTTTTTTTTTCCACTGAACATTGTTTTTGAGATCTGTCCATGTTGTAACAGATCTAGATCCCCTTAATAGTTATATAGTAGTAAACTGTATGACAATAATACATTTTATTTACCCACTAGAGGCCCGGTGCATGAAATTTGTGCACTTGGGGGGGGGGGTCCCTCAACCTGGCCTGTGCCCTCTCACAGTCTGGGAGCCCTCAGGGGATGTCCGACTGCTGCAGAGGCGGGAGAGGCTCCTGCCACCACCACTGAGCTCGCCAGCTGTGAGCCTGGCTTCCAGCTGAGCGGCGCTCCCCTGTGGGAGCACCCTGACCACCAGGAGGCAGCTCCTGCATTGAGTGTCTTCCCCCTGGTGGCAGTGTGCATCATAACAACCGGTCATTCTGCGATTTGCATATTAGCCTTTTATTATATAGGATTCTCCAAAACATGGATATAGAGGAGGGAATAGAGGTACAGAGGTTAAATTTAAATAATTTGTTCAAGGTGACAGTAAAATGAAGTTAGAATGTGAACCAGGTAGTAATAAAATCTGGATAGTCATTCATAACCTCCTAGTATGTCTTCTGATGCCATATGCCAGAGCAAATCCAGAATGTATTATAGAAGCAGCACTTCAAGGTTGTAAGATATGGGCATTTTCCAGTTTTACTAGGTATACCACACTGCTTTCCAAAATGGCCAAAATATGAAAACTACCATCAGAAATACATGTATCTGTTTATATGTCCTAATACCTGATATCACAGGTTTAATCTTTGCTATTCAATTCATGGGTAGAAATAGCATTCCCATTTTAATTTGCATCTCTCTCATTCTTAATGACAATAAATTTTTCCCCTCTACTTAATGGACAAGGAAATTTTCTCTTCTGTGAACTATTAGTTTATACCCTTTGTCCATTTTTTTAAATCCTCACCTGAGAATATTTTTTCCATTAATTTTTAGAGAGAGTGAAAGGGAGGAAGTAAGAGGGGAGAAAGAGAAAGACATCACCCAGACCGGGGTTGGGAAGTGAACCTGCAACCGAGGTACGTGCCTTTGACCAGGGATCGAACCCAAGTCTCCTAGTTCTTTGGGCTGATGCCCTAACCACTGAACCAAACCCACTAGGGTCCCCTTGGCCCATTTTTTAATGTTTGTTTCCTTAACCTTTTGTAGGAATTTCTTACAAAGTTCTAAATTATCAATCCTCTGTTTTATATGGTGTATTTTCTCCCACAATGCTGTTTGCCTTTCAATTTATTCATGTCTTCTTATACACATTTTATTTATTTATAATATATATATTTTATTGATTTTTTTACAGAGAGGAATGGAGAGTGATAGAGTTAGAAACATCGATGAGAGAGAAACATCGATCAGCTGCCTCCTGCACACCCCCTACTAGGGATGTGCCCACAACCAAGGTATATGCCCTTGACCGGAATCGAACCTGGGATCCTTCAGTCTGCAGGCTGACGCTCTATTCACTGAGCCAATCCGGTTAGGGTTCTTATACACATTTTAAATTTTGATATATTCATATATCAATTTTTGATTGATAAGTCATATTTCATTATATTTTCCTTTGTGGTTTGTAATCATAATATATGTAAGAATTTAAAATGTTGATTTACTTTTTTATCTTGCAGAAAACATCTTATTATTTTTAATAAGATAAATATATGATTATATCAGTTTTCTCCAACATCTTTGTTATAGGTACCTTATGAATATGAAAAAATTGTGGTTTTTCATTTCTCTGATCACTAGTTTGGTTAACATCTCTTTGTAGATATTCTCTATTTCCTCTAGTATTATATCTTCACATACAACATCTTACCATGTGAAAGTTTTTTATTTTTTAACAGTTTTATCTTCTGATCTTTTCTTTAATCAATTCTGTCTTATAACTTGCTCACTAATACCTTCTTCACTCCACGAATGAAAGATTACTCTCTAATATTTGCTCCTAGTATGTTTATAATTTTGTTCTGGAACTTTAATTCATCTGAAATTTATTTTCATGTAAGCTGTGAGATAGGGATATAATTTTGCTTATATCCAAATGCATAGCAAACTGATACAAAAACATTATTTGATTAATCTATCTTTTTCCTACAGGTATGAGATATCCTTTCTAGCAAATATTAAATTCTCATTTATACTGATGATGTATTTTTAGATTCCTTATTAATCTATTTCTGTTCCAGTTCCACATGATATTTTTAGTAATACATTTTCATATTTTGTAAGGCAAACCCTTACACCATTATTCTTCTTTTCAAACATATCTTGGTATTACTTCATAATAAATAAATAAGAAACAATTAGTGCCTTTTGTAACAGAGGAATGATCTTGGATAACAAAGCCTTAACTGAAAGAAATATATATATATATGTACATACATAAAACTACAGAACTAGCATTCCATTTTATTCATTTCACTTCCCTAGAACAACTAACAATTAACATTTGCATGACTTCAATGTACAAAGCATTTTCACATTCACTATGAAAGAATGATATTGTGTCAAAGAAAATAACCCATTCATTTTAGTATCAGTAAATGTATTCCAACTGAGCCTAACACTCATTGCTAAAATATATTTCAAAATGCTCATGTTTCAGCAACCAAAGTTTATTCCAGGGGTGGGCAAACTTTTTGACTCAAGGGCCACAATGGGTTCTTAAACTGGACCGGAGGGCCGGAACAAAAGCATGAATGGAGTGTTTGTGTGAACTAATATAAATTCAAAGTAAACATCATTACATAAAAGGGTACGGTCTTTTTTTTTTAGTTTATTCATTTTCAAACGGGCCGGATCCGGCCCGCGGGCCGTAGTTTGCCCACGGCTGGTTTATTCTAAATAAAACAGTAACTCATTTGTGTTGTAGATTAACTGTAAATGAAAAATACAATCACAAAGTAGCTACTATGTCTTATAATATAACAAGTGCACCCAAGGGTGGCGGGTTCGATTCTTGGTCAAGGGCACATACCTGAGTTGCAGGTTTGATCCCCCACCCAAGTGGGGGCCTGTGAAGGAGGCAATCAATTGATGTATCTCTCTCACATTGATATTTCTTTCTCTCTCTCTCTCTCTCTCTCTCTCTCTCTCTCTCTCTCTCTCCCCTCCCCCCTTCTCTTCACTTCCTTCCACACGCTCTAAAAATCAATTGAAAAAATATCTTTGGGTGAGGATAACAAAAAAACACAAGAAATAGTGTAACAACATTCATTACTTATACTTAGATAGAATACGTCCACTCTTTGGACAAAATAAAACACTTAGTCATGTAAATAAATTATAAAAAACACAATATTAGCTTATCATAGTCATTTAGATCTTTGTCAGACAAAAATTTATCCTTTACCTAGCCATATAGTTGTGAATTTCAACTCTGCTACTAAGTTTGACTTACAGACCTTTTCCTAATAAAAATAAACTTACATTTTTCACTATAAATGATCTGGACCACTGGATTGGGGCCATCGTTCTGTGGCACTGGCTCTATATCAGCCCATTCTGCTCTGTCTCTGAAATATATATATATTTTTTCAGTGATTATATTCAAGTATGTAAGAAAAAGAACTCTGGTATTTTTAAAATAGCAACAATTACACTTACATTAATACTAGTAGCTTTTAAACATCTTAATGTAACTATGGTTGGATTCTTCATGACCAAGTTTTGCCACTTTGCTTTACATGTTCAACTTTAAAATAAAAATAATGTGAATAATCTTCCAAATAAAATAAATTAACAGTATTCAAATTTAAGATTTTTATGTAAGTGGAAAAACATGTTTTGGCAGCACGGATACAATAGTTTTAAATTAGAAATCAATCTAATTCATTGGTCTAATAGGACTCTTTGGAGTTAGTATTTTTTAAAAACCGAGTAACAATGTACTAGGAATTGACATTTTACAATCAAAGTCAGCACTATTAACTGACTGTACAGCCGGCTGAGTTGAGTTTTGGCTCTACCACTTACAGCTGTGTGACCTGACGCTCCCTAACCTCCCCGGGCCTCAGTTTCTTCATTTATAAAATGGAGATGATAGTATCACCAACCAAATTTAAAAGACTGTTCGGAGGATTCAGTGAGATAACATGTCAAGCACTTAAAACGTGCATTCAATGAATACTCCCATTACCGATGCTAAAACAACAGTAGATACCACAGGCATTTCTGCGTGAACTGCCCAGTGTGAACCCTCTTTACTTATATTCTTTTCCTTTCACCTGTTTTTCAGTTCTCTATACCCATCAGCTGCTGACAGCAAAGACTCGGTGGCGGCCAGACAATCCCGAAATTGTGTCCACTAGGGAGACACAGGGGTGTGAGACATGGGAAAAGGAAGGCTGTCATCCAGTCCCCGGGAGAGGAGAGACAGCCGCGCGAATAAGCTGCACTACAGCTTATTGTGTATTTCAAATTGTGTATTTCACAATTCAGACAGGGGTCCACCCCACCCAAAGTAAAACATGAACAATAAAACAGGAACAAAAGCTGGATAGCGACTTGCACTCATTCATAAAAACAAGGCAAATAAGCAACCTAATGGATTTACCTAGAACTACAGGAGAAAAAAAAAAGACAAAAGAAAAATACGACCTAAGGACTTGTCACTAGCCTCTGTAGGTTCAACTGGAGCCAGGGAACAGGCGTGAGCAGAAAACCACGAGCTGACGGGACGGACGGGCGTCGGCGGAGACGCGGAGGGAAGGCGAGGCGGAGAGGACGGGCGTCCAACATCCTTCCCTCCGCGTAGCCCCACCAGGCGCCGAAGGGAACGTCCCCGGCCCCGAGGATCCTACACTCGCTCTCCCCATGTCCGCAGAGCGACCCATGCGAGGTCCTTACACCTTGTTTCTAAAGGGGGCACATCTGTAACTGATGGAAACGATATTTCCTGCCAGATTCCCAAAATGCGCCCGCCCCTCCGGACTGCAGTCAGACGGCTCCCAGGCTGTCCTGTGGGGGCAGGAGCGGCGCGGGAGATTTCTTACGTTCCCGACGCCCGGGCACCGACACGGCCGAGAGGGAGTTCGGTCCGGTGTGCA